ATCACTTGACCAACGCGCCGCTCCACGCCGTCGCTGCTCAGACCTATCAAGAAAGAATTAATTTTTGATAAGTCGAAAAGGAACGCGAGTACAGGCATATCAAAATGAATACAAGAAGGATACCCCGAGCCGGAATAGTTATATGCCGGGTGGGCCCGAGCCTGGAGCGGCTGGATCCGCCTACCGACGAAGTCTGCAACGACTTCATATCCCGATAAGCCCCGTTCTCGGAGATCATCGATGATGTCGATAAACGATTGGAGAGAGGGGGTCAAAGGGGGTTTGGCGGTCCAAACCAGAATCTTATCCGGTTGTTCCACAGGAACAACGAGGACCGGATTCGAATCCTTGATTTCCAGATAAAACCACCTGTTCCGCCATTTACTACGAGAAGAGGGACACTGGAAAGGGACATAGCGCAACTTCATTCCGTCACGAAGTCGGAACCCGACGCAACCAGACACCCTATTGGGTTCCATCCAGCGCAACTCATAGTAAAAACGGAACAGATCAAGAAAAGGTTCTACCCCAATGTAGGCCTCACAAAGATGCACGAAAACGCTAAGGAAAGCAATGGAGCTGGGATTCAAATGCAAAAGTGAAAGCCCATAGAAATTCAAGACTAGCAAAAGGAATTCAGAGGGGGGAGGAAGAAATCCGCAGACAATGTAATCTTCGATCGCAACCATGCGACCTAAGAGGGGCTATGGATTAGTACCTCCTGCTTCCCTCTCTGCCTTGTCACGGCCAGGGAGGGCGCCCTCCTCTTGGAGCTTCTTCAGGGTCACGGTGGTGGAAGTCGACTTGCCAAGATCCATCGCCGCTGGAAGATCGCCGGAGTTGGACAAAGATCGGCGAGGCTAGGGCTCTTTGCGGTGGCGAAGAAGGCGAGGAGCGCAAATGAGCAGTGTTTGCTTAACGAAGTAGGCGGACCTCAAAACTCACACCCAAAATCCCTTTAAATAAGCGCACTCCCGACGGTGCGAATTCCAAGGAAACAAGAGAAATCCCCGCCGAAGAACGTCATCTCCGTGGTTCTCGCACCTAGAATGACAATGTTATCGACACCTGAGGTCGCAAACGGTCGCGCGAGTTCATTTTTGAGCAGAAGTCGGGGGCTACTGTCAGGGTTACGGGTCAGGCATACCCTCTACCCCTCGATATACGTCACGTATCAACAAGGCCTATTCATGTGTGCACGGATAAATCCTTTGGCATCTAAGGAAACTCTTCGTAAAGTCAATGGACGAGGAGAGACCTTCTCGGACAAGAATTGAGTTACTTACGTATCGTGCCAGGTCTGGTATGTTCGAGTCCTACTCGGACAGCACCCAACCTACGGTATAAAAGGGACCCCCCGGGGAGGGCATAGATCATCGAATCTCAGAGCCAACATAACCCACACAGCCTACGAAGTCGGAGCCTGCAAGGAGTCAAGTCGACGAGAGCTAGTCGAATCATCTCGACTACAATCTCGCCAAACCTCCCCTAAGTTCCGTCCTTTCCTTTGTAATCTGTGTTTTCCACCATATAATCCCATACCAACTAGATTAGGGCTATTACCTTTCAAGGGGCCTGAACCAGTATAATTCTTGTCTTTTGATTGCTCGATGTCGTACTACGTAGATCCTTATACCAGCGTACCCCAATACCCTCTATATCCGGTCTACGGGTATCCCCCGTCGACAAAAATGTATCAATAATTGAATATGATATAATCTAGGATTACGAACTTGGATATCCTAATATTACGAATCTTAGTAAACAAATTTAGGCAGAGGCATATCTAGATTCATTGTATTATGATGTATCGATATCAGATCCAGTCCTAGCTAGGTTGATTTTTATGAGATGGAGGGAGTATCTTTACAGGTGACTCCATGATCATCATTTCTCAGTCTTTCTGCATAACTATGTGAGATGACTAACGAAGTTGACATCAATAGACATAACTAGTAATCAGCAGCACAAAGTACTGCAGCAACTGTACAGTACCGTACTGAGCTCGAATTAGCACCCCAAGCTTCAGGCGACCATCCAATGGCCAGGGAGATGAACACGCAGTAGTTCATTGTGCTAGCTTTGTTTTCTTCGATGCGATCGAAATGCAGCCGGCAGATGACACAGAGGAACGCGTGCATGCTGATTAATTACTCATTTGATGCTCGATCTTTCGGTCTCAGCAGAATTGTTGTGATTAAATTGGTCCTGTTCGATCTCTCTTCGAAGGAAAAAAAAAAGAAAATAAATCATGTCATGCAGTGTACCTACATGCCAAGCTGCAAGACGAAAAGCCATGCAAATCGTGTGGGTTGATGAAAGAGACGAAGCTTCGGGCCAGCTAGCTCGTGCATGATCTTTGTTAGATGATTAATATCTTTTCGGTGGAAGCATAAACTGAACTCAAGTACTGAACTGTAATTTGGACACACGCAAATGCCAGTAAAAATCATGTACTACAGAGATGTCATGACAGTAAAAGTAATATTTTATATAGGAAAAACACAAAAATTATTGTGACAATCCCAATATATTAACTACAAGATCAGATATTTGACATTATCCAACTTTCCATATCGGATGAAAAAAATCCCTTGAGCACTATTTTGGACAGTTACGGTCCGAAATGTTACACATGACACCAGTGTAGCAATTCAAAAAAAAGTGCCAATTCAATTAAAAAGTTTTAGAAAACAATCGATAGACCATAGGAACCCTGCGATTTTTCTCTTTCTTCCTCCTATCTCCTCTCCCTTGAGCCAACCATGGTTGCAGTGGTGACGGAGGTTGAGCTCGCGTGGAGGTGGAGCTTCTGCGGAGGCAGCTCCAGTGGAGGCAAAGGTGGCAACGAGGTTACTAAAATGGCAGTGGTGGGCAGGGTTCAAAATTTCGCCGAAAAAGGGTCCGAAATTTCCGAAAATCGGGTTTGTCGGTGGCCACCGAAAAAAAAACAGTATCGGCCAAAAATTTTGGCCCTTTTTGAATTTTCCGCGGCATTTTTCCGTTGGAATAAGTTTACTTTAGGTCCCTCTATTTGTCGCGTAGTCTGATTTTCGTCCCTGAACCGCAAAACCGGTTATGACCTGTCCCCCAACTTACAAACCGGACACATAAGGTCCTAAGGCGGTTTGGATAGTGGTTTTGGCTGACGTGGCGCCTATACATGGCTGGTTTGACTAGGTCTCAGCTCCACGTGGCATTGACGTGGCGCTTTCGTGGCAATTATATGTAGGAAAAATAATAAAAACCGTGGGCCCACATGTTAGCTACACACAAAAAAATAATTTAAAAAAGGTGGGGCCCACGTGGGCCCCACATGTCAGTCTCACCTCCCTTCTTCCCTCTCTCTTCTTCCTCATCCTCACTCGTCTCTTCTTCTCTCTCCCTATCTTCTTTCCTCTCCCCGACCTCGGCGAGGCGGCGCCCTCGGCAACCTCGCGTGCCACCGTGCCGCCGCACTCCACCTCCGAGCCGCCGCCTTCCTCTCCCCTCCTCCCCCACCCTCGCCGCGCCACTAGTCCCGGTCATCTTGGTGGTGCGTTGATGGCGTCGTCGCGCATCCCGACCGGCCTCTGGCTGGACCTAGAGATAGTGCATGAAGGCGGCGGCGCCGCCCGGTGGCACGGCGGCGGCACACTCCTCAACCGACGGCGGGCGGCAACCTTGGTGAGGTGGGGAGGAGGCGGCAGGGAGGACGGCGGCGCGGTGTTCCTCTCGCCCGCCGGCAGCCACTCCTCTCTTTCACCGCCGTGCGCCGCTCCTCTCATTCTGGCCACCGCCACAACTCCTCGCCCGTGCGCCGGAAGGAGGGAAAAGAAAATGCGGCGGCGAATCGCTGCTCGAGCTCATCAATGGCGGAAGACAAAGGTGGATTTGGGGAAAACTCGTCGCCGACATCAGCGCCTGATTCCACCACCTACTGCTCGCGTCCATGGCCGCCACCTCGACCGACGCACACCAGGCGGCGGCGGCAACGGCGACGACCCCTTGCCGGTATAAAGAGCCCGCCGACGCTTCGCTTCCACCCGCCGCCCCTCTGCTCCCCCGGCGTCCTGCGCCCGCCGTCACTCTGCCCACCGCCCTGCCAACGCTCCATTTCCACCCGCCGCCCCTCTGCTTCGCCCGGCGCCCACCGTCGCTCCACCCACCGCCGCTTGCCCTTTTGCAGCGTAGAAGAGAGAGAGGGGGGGTAGAGGGATGACATGTGGGACCACTTGGGCCCCACTTTTTAAATTTTTGTGTGTAGCTGACATGTGGGTCCCCCGGTTTTTATTATTTTTTCGGGATCCAAATGGCACGAAAGCGCCACGTCAATGCCACGTCATCCAAAACCGGCCACAATACTTCTTAGGGACCTTTTGTACACGGTTTTGTAAGTTGAGGGATATATTGTATCCGGTTTTCTGGACTAAGGATGAAAATCACACTAGGCGACAAATTGAGAGACGTAGAGTGAACTTATTCCTTTCCCGGTCCACAGGCTCCCAAAATTTTGGCCCACGCGCATGAGCGCCCCAGCCCAGTCAAACCCTAGACCCCACTTCTCCCGTGCGTGACCCCCGTCCACTCCCAGTCCCAACCCTGTGCGCCGCCTCCTCCTCCTGTTCGAGACTGAGGGTGCGTTTAGCTTTGGAAATAAAAAAATTTTTTATCATATCGGACGTTTGATCGGATGTCGGAAGGGATTTTTAGACACGAATAAAAAAACTAATTTCATAACTCGTCTGAAAACCGCGAGACGAATCTGTAGCCTAATTAACCCGTCATTAGCACATGTGGGTTACTGTAGCACTTATTGCTAATCATAGACTAATTAGACTCAAAAGATTAGTCTCGCGATTTCCTCTCTAACTGTGTAATTAGTTTTTTCATTTATCTACATCTAATGTTTCATGCATGTGTCCATAGATTCGATGTGATGTTTTTGGAAAAATTTTTGGGAACTAAACGGGGAGAGAAAGGCGAGACGAGAGCCGCCGCCGCCGCCGCCGTCCATACATCGCTCGACCGCCGCCGCCATACATCGATCTGCCGCTGCCGTCGCCATTCGTTGAGTCCCTGTGCGCCGCCGTGTCCTGTTGTTGGAGAGCTGTCGCCGCCGTCGCGCTGGACGGCATCGAGCTGCGTGACCTGCGTCATCCCCCTCCCGTCTCCGCTTCCTCCAGAAACCGCGCCTCGGCCTCATCGAGAAGCTCTTTTGCCCCTGGCCTCGCATGTCAGGTCGAGACTCGAGAGGGAGCGCTACGCCGCCGCCTCCCCCTCCCCACGAACAGCCCCGCGCCCATCCGTGAGCCGTCCCTCCGATCCTGTCGCCCGAAGCCTTTCCATGTAGCTCTGCTGCAGCGGGTTGCGGTCGAGCGCCTGCATCTCGGCCGGAGTCGCCGCCGCGTCGCGCGCTGGTGTGGCCTCGCTCCGTGCCCACGCTGGCTGCCCCTGCGCTTCCCTTCCCCGCTGCCGCCGCCGCTTTCGGAGTTACAAAGATGGTGGGCAAAAATGTAATTTTACAGGAGATATAATCGGACACTACTACTCATTATCCGTTCGGATTTTGGACCTGAGCTGAGAGCCAACCACCACGCTGCTGCTCCGCCGCTCTTTCTCCCGTGGTGAACGAAAGGTAACCGCGCCTGCACAATTCCGATACTTTCGCAATTTTCTCTCATCTTCCCTTCAAATTCGAGCTTACAATTCCCTCTGGAAGTAGAAGGTGGTTGGAGGGGGGCATCCGAGCATGGAGGGGCTGACGTCCAGCGAGATCGCCGGCTTCGGGGTGGGAGCCCTGCTGGTGTGCGCCACCATCGCCGCCCAGAGAGTCGACGGCTTCATCGCCTCCTCGCAGAGAACGTACACTAAATTCCCTCATCATCTTTTTTTTTTCTTTCTCCCTTTCTTTGTCTGACTCCAAGCTAACTACTGTTAGTTCCTCAGCGTCTCCAACACGAATCTGAATTTTATCCTTTGTACGGAACAGTAATCTGATTTGTTGGTAGGCTAGACTGCTAGTACAACATGGAGTAGTCACCAACAGTAAAAAGATGGGAAAGTGCAAATCTTATAGCGGTCACATTAGGGGCTGTTTGGTTTACAGGGACTTATTCTAAGTCCATGTCACATCGGATGTTTGGACACTAATTTAGAGTATTAAATATACACTAATTACAAAACCCATTCCATAAGCTTGGACTAATTCGCGAGACGAATCTTTTGAGTCTAATTACGCCATGTTTTTGACAATGTGATGCTACAGTAAACTTTTGATAATTATGGATTAATTAGGCTTAAAAAATCCGTCTCGCGGATTAGCTCTCATTTATGAAATTAGTTTTTTTATTAGTCCATATTTAATACTCTAAATTAGCGTCCAAACATCCGATGTGACATGGGCTAAAAAGTTTTAGCCCCATCTAAACACCCCCTTAGTAGCTGTTAGTTTTCACCGGTGGTTAGGCTGCTCAGTGATTTTGATGGCTAGCGTGCCCAGATTTCATTTTTGTGGCCTTAGTTGTGCTGGTAGCTAGCCATCTTCAGAATTGCGAACACGATGGGTTTTAGGGGCAGAGCTTGACATGTGTTTTTCAACTGAATAACTCCTGGGTGGTCACTCTTTCAAGACACATGGTTTTTGCATGTGAAAAAATTTAACATCGATGTATTACTACTCAATTGAAAGTGTACTTCCTTTTTCCTCTTTATCATTAGTTCACTAGTCAATACATTCTTTGGGCGAGTTGGCCTGCATTTGTGGAATAACAAAAAGGCCTTCTACACTGAATATTTTTCTTCATACCAAGTTCTTCTCAAAACTTAACCCAAGCATTCTCATTTTGTTTAATAAATGTAAATATGTATTGACAGGTCATTGGGCATGTGCAAGAAGTGCGGTGATCTTCGTATTGTGGCTTGCTCACAATGCAAAGGAGTAGGTTCTGTTAGGAAAGGAGGACTATTCACATTTGGCATGCTAGATGATATTTATGAATCACTTGGAGCTGAAACAAAGACAAGTAACTTGGTTCCTTGCACAAATTGCCGTTCTAAAGGCCGCCTTTTGTGTCCAGAGTGCTCCAAGGTTAGGTGATTCAGTTCTGGTGATGTACAGAGATACAATTTTCTATCACCACACATGTAGGTGTTGTTTCAGAACTGTGGTTTAAGATATACTATATCATCTTCATCAAAGAATTATGGCATGTACTGAACTAAGGATGCTTATTCCATTTTCTTTTACAATTTGATTGAAAGAATTAAGCCATATTATATTTGTGTATTAGTGATCACATTCTTCATGCACAATGAAGGTAAACGTGTTAAGAAAGTACAAAACGCATAGACCCTTAGAGACAGGGGGCAGTAGAATAGTTTGGTGGTGCTTTGCTCACAGAGAAATCTATAAATCAACTATACCCTCTGGTTTTATTTGTTTGACGTTGGTTAGTTCATTTTTTAACCAACCAACGTCATATAAAGAGGGAAGGAGGGAGTATTTGTTAAGTATTTTGACCATCTGTTACTAGTATTCGTTACTCTTGAGTACTTCCATTTTCTTTGCACATGTTGGTTTCATTCTTTGGTTCAAGCAACATGTTTGTTAGGCCCTGTTTGTTTCGGCTTAAGATTATTGTAATCTAGATTATTGAGCCAGATTACTGTAAGCTGAATTATAATAAGCCGGCATAGAAAAAGCTGTGAGCGGTTTGTTTCTCTGGATTATAAGCTGTTTGTTAGCTGTTAGCCACCCAATAATTTAAAATAAGCACCTTTAGAGAGGATTACTAGATTATAGTAATCTGGCTTATAGAATACAATAATCTATCATAATAAGCTATGGCTTATAGATTACAATAATCTATCATAATAAGCTATCTGTTTGTTTCAGCTTATTCCTAATAATCTAGATTATAATAATCCTAAGCTGAATCAAACAGGGCCTTAATCACATAATTCAAAATTTCTCTGTATGATGCCAGCATGAGTCAGAATAGTTGTCCTTTCTGTTCCAACCATGTCATCTTGTAATGGTGATTAATGTAATACTACTATATGTTTTCATCTGTTGTTTTTTTTTTATAAAAACAATACAAGATCGATATCATTACCCCATGTAAAAATTACTGCACTTTTCAGGCACATGATATCACATACCCAGATCCTTTTATAGTTAGTGTCATACATGCATCAAAGTTGCACCTTGGTTATTACATTTAATTCCTCTGCTAAGTGACTAGATCACCACTCATATTGCTGGGTAAAAAATTCATGTGCCACCTGATTCAACTGTCATGATGCCACAGTAATAGTATCCCAAAGTCTCGGTTTGTAGAGGATAGTCAGGTACATAGCCACCGGATAACTAAAATAATACACCTAGAAAGAAGAAGACACAATCTCGTTATAAACAATGACTCCATTTCTGCTTAGCCAAATGAACTAACAAAGAGTCGCTGCACCCATCAAAAACAGATTTCGCCTCTCTTTGGGAACACATAAAGGACATCTCCTAAACATATGAGTAACATTGCCACAAGGTTGTATATTAGAAGCCATATGTATGATAGACCACACCATATAAGATAAACAACATCAGAACAATAAATGTTTGATGGAATTTCTTTTTCATGACAAAAGTAACACATCTTACTGCTGTTCCACTTTCTCTTAGCTAAGTTGTTCTTGGTGAGAATTACGCCTCGGCGTAAACACCAAAGGAAATCTTTTAGCGGTATTTTTACCTTCCAAATGTGTTTATTGATATGTGGGACACTCGTATGAACTAGTGCTAAGTAGTGAGATTTGACCGATAACACCCCACTGGAAGTGAGGTTCTAGTGAAACTCATCTTGTGCCGTTATCAAAGCCAAATCATCTATGTGAGGCAATAATTTGTGCCACGCAGCTAATTTTGCATCAATTAAGTCCTGTCGCCATGAAAAGTTTGGTGGTTTGGTTTGGAAATCCATGAGATGATCAACTATTTATGCCTAACAACAAGGATACTAATTCCTCAGCGAAGCATTGCTAAATTACTTGTCTTTCTAAAACTTTATTTGAGAGCCATCCCTAATATGAAAGAACCCAGAACGAAGAAAATCTTGTTTGACCTTCATAATTCGAGTCCAAAAATATGAATCTCTTTCTCTGACTTATTCAATATTTAATATATTTATCTTGGAGCACATATAGCTAGCTCTTATATTATAGCCAACACCTTTCTTTTCTCATTATTTCTCTCCTCCGCGTAAGCTTATGGCTGTGTTTAGTTCGTGTGCCAAATTTTTTTTAAGTATACGGATACACATTTGAAGTATTAAATATAGACTAATAACAAAACAAATTGCAGATTCTGCCTGTAAACCGCGAGAGGAATTTATTAAGCCTAATTAATCCGTCATTAGCAAATGTTTACTGTAACATCACATTGTCAAATCATGGCGTAATTAGGCTCATAAAATTCGTCTCGCAATTTACCTGCAAACTGTGCAATTGATTTTTTTTTTCGTCCATATTTAATGCTCTATGCATGTGTCCGAATATTTAATGTGATAGAAAAGTTAGAAGTTTGAAGAAAAACTTTTGAATCTAAACACTGCCTGTATCTCACTAATATCCTTGCTCTTATGGTCATTGGCTAGTGATAGAAGGTATCGTTACACAGGTTCCAGTTTCGAGACTTTCCCTCGCTGCCTCACAAGCACGTTGATGACGGGAAAATCGGGACGGTCGTAATAGTAGGTCCGTTATCCGCAAATCGTTAGAGACAATTTAATTTAAATGCAATAAATAAATAAAAATCAGAAATTACGAGTCCATTACTTCTAGAATTCATACATTTACATAGAAATTCTATTAATTACATCTCCGTAGAGAAAACCCCTGATTACAAAATTACATGACTGCTAAAAAGCTAAAAAGGAAAATCTATCCTAAAGCTCCAGATGTCGCAGCCGTAGAATCTTCTGTAGATTTCCATTTATATATGTTTATTTAATTTTGGGCGTATTTTAGATGCCCACTAATTTGTTGGTTTTTAATATTACTGCGTGTATGGTAGCAAATTTATACATAGCTTCCTTTTTTGGCATTGTGACTTTATTTTTTCTATATGTAGCACGCATATATAAATTGATGAATTTTCCTGAGCACTCGCGGGGCGTGGCCAAACGAGTATTCATTTTGGCGCCATTATTATCAACATGGCATGGGATTTTGGTGCGGCGCATTGCATTGCCTATTTTAATTTCCACCACACCTGTTTTACTACTAGCATGGCCCTGTACCATGAAGCGTAACCGAAGTAGGCATTTGTTTGATTTATGGTCGACTATCACGATGTCGCCACTTGTTGTGCGCACACGGTTAATTTGCAATTGGAAGGAAAATGCATGGCCAGAGTATATGGATGCATGCATGTGCGTATATCAGATTATTTTTTATACTGCACTTTATATATGATGCAGTGAGTATACACCGTTTTAAGCAAATATATGTATGCAGATGATTTTGAGATTATAATTTTCACTCCACTTGTATTACTACTAGCATGGCTCGAAGCCGTGAAGCGTAACCGAAGTGAGTATTGGTTAATTTTATGGCCGGCCGTCATGACTCAGCGTAGTTCATGATTTATCCATCATTTTGTACATGAACAGATGGAAGGAGAAAATATATGCATGCACTCCTATCTCTGACCACGGAAAGAAAATAAACGCCATTTTATTTTAATTCTTGTTAGAGAAATATGGCTGAACATATGTCAAAACTAGCAAATGTGTGTGCTAATTAGTATGCTCAATTAATTTTGTTTATCACTGTGCCTGTATCACTACTAGCTCGGCTCGAAGCCATGAAGCTTGACCGAAGCAAGTGCTTGTTTAATTTATGGTGAATAATGCAAAATTTATGTTTGTATCCGTGATTTGTATCCGCTCGTAGAGGACCGAACCTGAGAGCGAGAATCTCGCCTAGGCTTGTATCCGCTAACGGGACCAAATCAGAGGGTATGGTAGGATGACATGAAAAGAGTATGCATGCAGACCACTCCTAGGCCCTTACTCATTTGGCCGGACCATAGGAAAAAGTGTGTAATAATCATGTTAAAAGCCATCAAATGAAATGAATTTCCTTGTCTCATACTCGCTGGCTGAGACGAATGACACAACAAAGAGGAAAAATCCCTTTGGCTTGTACTCATGATGGCCAAGCCTAGGAACATGGCAAGAACATAATTTTTTGGTTCGTACTCATTGGCCGAACCGGAGGACACAGCAAAAGAATCTATTACATGAGTAGAGAAAGATGAACCGAAAGATTTTTTGACTCGTACCCAATAGCCGAGCCTAAGAATGAAGGAAGAGCATGATTCCCACCTTGAAACACCTCTGATTCTTCCGGCACAGCAGAGCGAGGAAGCAGAGGCTGACGAGATGGCGTAGGAGCAGAGCGGCACGGCAGCATATATTGCCTAGCAACAAGCAGCGCTTCTGCAAAGCATACGCACAGCACCTAGCCTCTACGCTAATCTCCCCTGGAACCTCTCCCCAGCGAACTCCCCATTGATCCTCTATTTATAGGCCCCTTTGAATCGTAGGAATGAAAAAACAGAGGAATAGGAAAAACACAGGATTCTGACAGGAATACAATTGTAAAACAGAGGATTGCAAAACACAGGAAAAACATAGGAATGGCCGTTTGATTGGACCACAGGAAAAACACAGGAATCAGATGAGAGAGATAGACTCAGAGGAAATGTTCCAAGAGGTTAGACCTCTTGCTAACTTTCCTCCAAAATATGCATAGGATTACCCATTCCATAGGAATTTTAAAGGATTGGATAGGATTCAATCCTTTGTTTCAAAGGCCTTCATAGGATTTTTTTTCCATAGGATTGAAATCCTCCAAAATTCCTACATTTTTCCTACAAATCAAAGGGGCCCATAGAGGAGGATTAGAGGGGGTTAACCAGCTTTTCATGATTTTGAACAGAGTCCCGCGCACATCCCGGGGCAGATAGTGGGAAATGGACTCAACTGCATAGCTCTTTCTTTGGCTGACATGTGGGTCCTCCATTCTGACCGGATGAATGTGGCAAGGGGCATTTGCAAATTTGCCACCGGTTTTTTGAATATTGCAAGGATACCACTCGAATGACAGTTTTTTTGAATATTGCATGTGGCAACGTGCATGCAGGTAGTGGGGTGAACGTGGGCAGACCTGGTCATGTACGGATGTACCTGGTCGTTACATTCTTCCCCATTTGTTATTACTCCCTCCGATTCACATCCCTCCGATTCACAACCTTAAGTCATTTATTATTTCCCA